CAATCGAGTCTCATTCCGATCACACTAGTTGTAGTAATTATGATTTTAACTTGTGTTTGTTTCCCTGTTAATATTGGCGAGAAATCTGTCTTATGCATATTGGCCGTTTTGACTCCTTTTTTAAAAAAATATATAGTGCCTTGCTCTGTAAGTCTGGCTGACCTGATAGTTGCTATGTACCCAGGCTGATCTCAAACTCATGACAATTCTCCTGCCTCAGCCTCCTAAGTGCTGGGATGGCAGGCATGCACCTGGCCTAGACATCTTTTTTCAAGTGTACCTGTATTGCATATGTTTATTTTATCATGGGGTATGGGGCGGGTGTGATCAGAGAGCAGCTTCTAAGAGCTGGTTCTCTCCTTCCAGCATATGGATCTCGGGGATCGAACTCATGGTGTCAGGTTTAGTGGTGAGCCCCTTACCCACTGACTCAACTCATCAGTCCAGAAGATGTATTTTTAAAGAAGTATTTTGAAGTGAGTTTCTACTCCTCTCTTGGATGCTCTGATTATTCCCTCACTGAGGAGCAGGTATCTGTAGCTGTCTCTCATCTAAGAGTTACACATACACCTCTCGCCTTTAATTCTCACTGTTCGCAGCAGCTGAAGTCGGACTTTGTCACACACAGGATGTCTCCAAGCGTTTCCCCCCTTTTAGGGAGTGCTCCTGGGATCACTTCAAGCCTTGTACAGCCAGACACGAAGACCTGTCCCCCACAGTCCTATATTGTCTCCGTTTTGCTTATTTGTTTGTTTATGTTTTGAGACTCTCAGTAGTCCTGGCTGTCCTGGAGCTCACTATGTAGACCAGGCTGGCCTCACACTCACAGAGATCCTCCTGCCTCCTCCTCCTGGGTGCTAGGATCAAAGGTGCATGCCACTATGCCAAACCCTGGGACTTCCCTCTGGATTCGCAGTCCATTGACTTTGCTTTTAGTCATCATTTCTGTTTGGTGATCGTCACTCATCAAAGTGCGCAACTGCTAAGCATGTTTTCCTTCCTCCATGAGCGGAGGGCTGCTGAGGCCAGGCAAGGCATACCAGGTTGAAGTCCCTGCAAGGAAGCAGAGTGAGTCCACTGAATGAAACTGTGCTGCTGAGGACTGAGTTGCAGCGGAGACCCGAAGATGTCGGAGCTGCCAGAGCGTGAGACGTCTGAAGGAGAACTGCATCTATGCAGCGGAACCAGCCTGAGAGAGGTGTATGCTGCAGCCAGCAAGGGTGGTGGAGTCAGCCAAACCCCCGGAAATTAAAGTCCTAGAAAGAAGACACAGAGCTACAGGACTTTGTTTTTTCCTACTAGGTTTCAGTCTTTCTTTGGTCTGGTATTTCCTCACTAAGCTCTCATTTCTCCATGTTGGAACGGCAATGTATATTCCTTACTATTGTATAAGGGAATCATGTATTTTTGTTTTTTGATTTGATAGTCGATCATGTTTAGAAATGGCCTTGAGTCTCACAAGAGATTTTGAACTTCCTTTATTTCTAAACAAGAAGTTTATTTAAACAACAAGATGCTTGAATTGAAGGGAAGCTATTCAGAAACATTTTGTTCAAGAATAATGTTCCCCTACTTAAAGGCAGATTACCCTACATGTAACAGCTACATAAAGGAAGGTTACAAATTGTCCTTGGTTTTGTAATAAATGAAAAAACACTGACATTCTCCAACTGAAGAAGGGGTGCAGGGGTTTATGTTGTTGAGTTCTTTTGTTAAAACAATGAGAGCAAAATAACTTCCTGTACTGTACAGAGAAGAGCTGAGTGAGCGTGCCACTAGTGGAGAGAGAGGAGGCTTTCATAGAACCACTACCTTCCCAGCCCTTCTCCATCTGGTGTCAACCAAAAGGGAACACGGCAATGTGCTGGTGCAATACACCAGGGACTTTATGTTCAAGAAAGGAATAGGGACAGAGAAACGAAAGAGCAGAGAAAAGTACAGTGTGGTGGTCAGGGTGTGCGGGAGCCTAACTGCAGCTTTCTAATGGAGAATGTTTCTTGGTTTATAACAAAAATTCTGGGATGAAGTAGCGGCCTCCCTTTTTGGTAGACATCTCCTTCTGCTGCTGGAACACATCCATGGGATCTTCATCCTCCATTTCCAACTATGCCGGTGTGTCTGTTTCACTGTTTGCCCATCAAACTGGAACCCAATCTGCCTTATTGGCGAACTCTGGTGTTCACAGTGGGCTTTTATTAGTTCACTGAGCAGTGTCTGTTTCTTCCTTTAAAGCTGCACCGTGCAGTCACCCTGCCCATGAGTAGGATGCATCAATATGCTCATTGTTCTCAGTCTTGACTCCTTCCTTGGGTTTCTCATTGGCCATGGTGAGCATGGGAGTCTCCCCACCTGCTACTTCACAGAGATGCACTAGGTCCTCACAGCAAGAGATTTGGGACTATTGAATGATGCTGGGACTCTGAAATACTACAGGGACTTTTGAAGTTGGAATAAATGCATTTTGCATTGTGAGATGGCCAAGAGCTTCTGGAGGCAGAGGCATAATGTGTTGGGTTGAAGGAGGGTTGTCCCTTGTGGGCTCATGTATTTGAACACTTGGGCCGTAGTTGATGGCACTGTTTGTGGGGGTTATGGTACCTCTAAGGAGGCTGAGCCTTGCTGGAGGAAGTATACCACGGGGGTGGGCTTTGAGGGTTTATAGTCTCATCCCACTTCCTATTCTTTCTCTCTCCTTCCTGTATGTGTGGATGAAAATGCAATCAGCCAGCTTCCTGCTCCCCCTGACATGACATGCCTTCCCCAAGGTGAACTCTAGCTCTAGAACCATAAGCCAAATGAACTCTTTCTTCTTTAAGTTGCTTTTGGTCATGGTGTTTTATAATAGCAACAGGAAAGCAACTAGTGCAACAATGACATCTACCACAAGTCTTCAAAACCTACAATGGTCACAGCATGCGAATAAACTGAGCACTGGGACTACAAGGCACTGTTGACCGGAGGGAATGGCTGCTACAGCCACGAAAGCATGTGGGCACGCACGGGAGAGATGGCAAGGGCACACACAGCACACTGAAGCCACATCAGGAACTCCACGCACAGCAAGACGCATCGAGTCATTGAAAATTCGCATAATGGAATTTGCTAGTGTAAGGAGATAAACTTTAGCTCTGAGCAAAAGACTGAATCCCACAGGCACAGCTTGGGACCAGAGATGATGACGGAAAAACAATGCCACACAGACTCATGCAGAAGATGCCAACAGAGAGACTAAGCTGCAGTGTCTAGACGTTTAGGCCTAAAAATTGATGGACAGGCAACTGAGCGGGTGAGTGAGTGGATGGATGAATGAATGGTGGTTTAAATGTGGAATAAACGTCAGGACAGGAAAAACAAGGAAAGTATCCCTATAAATCCACCACGTAGTTCCATGGGGAGAGATGGTAGGGCTCTGGCAAAATGGCATTCCTTATATTGCTTCTGCTAGGCATTTCTTCTCGTGAACCACAGAGCCACACACACAACTATGATTAATTCAATGTCCAGCTTATGATTGGTATTTTATAAAACAAGGTCCAAGATGTATAAATTCCAAGAGCAGCTAGAGAAGTGGATGTGAGGGAAGAGAAGGGATGACAACCAGGTAAACGCTTGCACATGTGGACAGTCGTCTGGGCAAGCCAGCAAGTTCAGATCTTAAATAAACCACGGGTATTTATCTGAAAGAATATTTATTGAGAACTATGTGCCAAGATTTTGTGGAGGAACTTGATGTTAATCTCTAGTCCCACAGAGCTGTGCTGTGAGCTTCTGGTGAGTGGAAACAGCTTACAAACCTGTGCGGGTTGACCTGTGGGTGGAAGAGTCGTAATCAACGGAAACCAAATGAGCACAAGATGATGACGTGGTGAGCTGCTGGGTGTCACGTGAGCAGATCTGCGGTTTAGTAAGCTCATGAAGTGGCAGGGCAGAGACTGAGCTAGTTGAAAGGAAGACAAAGCGCACGGCATGTGGCAGGTTACTGCAGTTAACTGATGCCGAGTGCAGCAAACACAGGAACAAGCTGCTGAGGCTGGGCGGTGGTGGCACACACCTTTAATCCTAGCACTCAGGACGCAGAGGCAGGAGGATCTCTGTGAGTTTAAGGCCAGCCTGGTCTACAGAGTGAGTTTCAGGATGGCCAAGTCTACACAGAGAAACCCTGTCTCAAAAAAAAAGAAAGAAAGAAAGAAAGAAAGAAAGAAAGAAAGAAAGAAAGAAAGAAAGAAAAGAAAGGAAAAAGAAAACCAAAGTTTCCGTACCCACAACCTTAGAGTGCCGCTGTCCTCCCCCTCACCACGTTCACTCCTCCTCTTTTCCTTCCTGTAAAAACCACCAATCTGTCTTCCATTTTATCATTATGCCAATTTGAGATGAAATTGTCTGCTTAGTACTGCAGGAAGGGCTTTTTCTCATAGTTCCCTGAAGAGTTGTGGGAGTTGCTGCCAGTCTCTACCTCCATCCTCCGTGGCTGGAAGGGGGTCTAGACTGTAGCCGTACCAACTTCCACCATGAAAGGACATCTGTATCTGGACTGTGTCCAGTTTGGGGCTATTACCCTGCAAGCTTCAGTAGACATTATTATGTGAACACAGGCTCACTCCACTGGGCTAAGTGCCCAAGAACATAACTGCTGAGAAGTATAGTGTGTTTAGATCTTCAGGGTCCGCAGCGGGAGGAGCCCGTGTTCACGTTCGCAGCACGGCATGAGACTCCAGCTTGTCTTGCCAGCTGTCACAGCGTATGCTGACATAGGAGACCCTTCGGTGCGGCTCTGCAGTCATCATGTCCTCTTCTGGGACACTCCTCTCCCTGACTGTCATGGCTGGACGACATGTTTGCTTGTCGTTGAGATGGAATTTGCTTATATTCCCCAGGGAGGTTTCCTTGGACAGGTATATGATTTATGACCAGTCTCTCCCATTGCTGGCCATTGCTTCCTGTCAGAGACCTATGAAGGGAAGCTTCCCTTCCCTTCTTTCCTTTCTTCTTTCTCTTTGTCTCAGGGGAGAGTGCAAACGCAGTCCCCAACCACCACTGATTATGCCATGAGTTTCCCACTTTGGGCACATCACGGGTCGGGACAGTGGGAGTGCACAGATAAACCTCACCCTGGGAACTCCTTTGTGATCATGGTGTCGTCCCTGCCAGGTTACTATGCTTTCATCTTGGTGAAGGCGAGCTTTTCTTTCTTTTGGCTTCTCGGTGTGCTATCTAAGAATTCTCCAACATGCCCTAGGGTCCAGAGATATTTCCTGTCTAAGGCCTAGAGGTTCACTGTTAATGCTGGAACTCAGATCTGCTGAGTTGACTGTGTGAGGCATGAGACTCAGGGCAGAACTCATTTCTTGGCCTGTGGGCTGTCAGTGGCTCTGGTACCTGGAGTTGAGATGAGTGCTCTTCCTGACAGCTAAGATTTAGGACCCCTCCCTGTCACCATAGTTCCCCAATTACCAGCCTCACTGCGGCGCCCACAGTCCTCTGGCCCTCTATGGCTTCCAGGCACCGACTCTTGGGCACTCTCTGAACTCCCAGACTCCAGCTACACTGTAACTTTACCTGTTAGCCCAAGAGGTCAGGCTAAACCCAGAGGAGTGTCCCCAGGAAGCAAAGCTGGGAGTGGTACCTGAAGCTGGGGTCCCAGGCGGGGCAAAGAATCTGATTCAAGGGGCACAAAAGCAAGTGTCTGCCAAAAGGCCTGACACCCATACCACCATTTCTGGCAGAACCCTCAGCTTTACGGGTGAGATATGGGGTAACCAACTTTAAATTCAGGTGACTTAAAGGAAATAAAGGTAAGGTCAGGTGTGGTACCCATCACCTGTAACCCCAGAACTGTAGAGGCTAAAACAGAAGGTGTGTGTGTGTGTGTGTGTGTGTGTGTGTGTGTGTGTATACAAACAAATAGAAGGTAGAGGCACTTCTGAGACTGGCTTCTCAGAGTTGCTCCTACTGCTGAGTGAGCCTCACCAGCGACCTCCTGGACCCACATGTTCCAGTGGTCAGCATGAGGAAGACAGCACTCCCTCCTGATGGGAGGCAGTTCCAGTAAGAGGGAAGAAACAGGAATAGACTGAGGGTACCTGTGATACCTGGTCAACCTCTGAGGCTAGAGAGCCTAATCTACCACAACAGCTGTATCCTCTGGTAGCCAGAGCGCTGAAGAAGCTAGGACAACCACACAGAAGGCATCCCCTGGCAGACAACAACCAATCATTGTTCAGAAACCCACAGGTGTTTGGTTGGTGAGGTGGAACCAAATACAAAACCTAGGAATCCCTGTATAATATATATATATATATATATATTCCTTATGAGATATATATTTCTTTATGTAAATATATTGTGTATGACCCTGTCTTGTAAGGAGTGTGTGTGTGTGTGTGTGTGTATTCACATATATACACATATCTATTCCTTATGAACTTATGAGACAGGGTCAATGCTCTTGCCTAGTCCTGGTATTACAGATGTGTGCCACCACATCGGAAACCTTTGGAGTAGGGAAGTGCATGCCAGGGCCACACCTGCTCCGGAGTGCTCCCGTCATCCGCGTACACCCGGGGGTCTGCTCCGAGCTTCAGAAGCACCTCCACGGCTTCCAGGTGGCCCCCAAAGGCTGCCCGGTAGAGCGGCGTGCGGCCGAAGGCGCCCTGCGGAAGGGGCTCCCTGAGCGCGTGCGGGGACCAGGCCACGCTGCCACCGCGCGCACCTCGCCCACCTTGCTGTTGGGGCTGGCACCCAGCTCTGCCAGCAGCTGGATGGCCAAGGGCTGCCCGCCGGCCGCCGCCTCGGACAGAGGCGTGTTTCCGTGGCTGTCCTCGCACTCCACAGTGGCCACGCGCCTCTGCAGCCGCCGAGCCTTGCCCGCCTCGTCGTGGCCCACGCCTTCGCGCGTCAGGAGCTGATCCACCTGGGCGCAGGGCAGTGTCACCTTGGCGCCAGCCCGGTCCCGCCCACCCGCTGCTGCCGCACGGACCTCTTTAAGCACCGCACGAATCTCGCCCAGGTCCCCTTCGAAGGCAGCCTCCAGCAGGCGGCGGCGGCGTTGCAGTTCCTCCCGCCTGGCGCGCTCTGCCGCCTCCTCCTGCTCGCGCTGCCGCCGAGCCGCCTCCTGCTCCCGGCGCACCAAGGCCAGATAGGCCTGCAAGACATGGCCCGTGGTCACCGTCCCCAGCGCCCACGCAGCTCAGCTCGTAGTTACTCTGCAATCCAGACATCATGTCCACAACCTGAGGTGCCCGTCTAAACCCCAAGGTCATGATTCCCCTTCACACTCTGTCTAGACCTTCCCTCTTCCGGTAGTCCTGGTACCCAGGGTCTTCTGGCTGAGTCCTACTCACCTCCCTCTGCAGCTTCTCCATTTCATCCAGGTACTCCTGGCGCTCCTGCCGACGGCGAGCCAGCTCCTTTCGTGCCAGATATTGCCGGAAAGCACACTGGATGACAATGGCGGCTTTGTCCTCGGCGGTTGGGGCTGGGGTGAAGAGAGTTGAGATTTGAACCCCAGTCTTCCTTCCTAGCCACCATCTATGCAGTTGCTTGGGTCATACAGAGGACGCCATGAAGGCCGGATGCCGTGATCATGCCTATCTCCCAACACTCAGGAGGACCACGGAGTCCATTAGTGTGAAACCAGCCAAGGCTAAGTGGTAGACAGTGTCTCAACAGTGACAAAAATTCCTCAGTAGCTGAGTCAGAATAATGCTCCCTCAGAAGAACCAGGGAAGGAGAGTGCGCCAGGCTTGAGCAGAAAGTCCACATCCCCGGGGCCAGAAAATCGCTAGAAATCTGCAGCTGGAAAGACGCCGACTGAAAGAAGTTGTAGGAAGCCCGAGGAAAGGACAGAAAAACTGACCCTGGTTCTCAGGGTTCACCCACCAGAGCCAGAGGCCCAACACATCCTCAAAGCTTGGATGTTAGGCATAAACTGCCCCGAAAGGGGCGTGGTCTCAGACCACAGCCCAGGACACTTACAAGGGGGTGTGATCTAGAACTTGGGCACAGCTGCGCACACATTCAGGCCATCTTGCAGAGGTCTAGCATGCTGTCCTGGCACAGTGGCTTTCAGGAGCAGGGGACTGGAAGAACACCACGCAGTCCCTCCTGTGACTGGCTGATCACCAGTGAGTAACCTATGGGCACTACTCCACCCCACAGGGTCTCTCTGTGGGGGGAGGGGGCAGCAGGGAAATCAGCAGCACTTAGCCGGAAGCTGAAGAGCTAGAAGAATACAAGCCGCAAGTGAAATGTCCAGAGTATCTATCCACAAAAGAGAGATGAAAATCTTATCTAACTGGGACTCCAAGACAGGCTGTGTAGATCGCCAGGACAACTGAAAAATGAGTCAGAGTGCATAAAGAAAGAAACAGGAAACAAGACTCAGATGGACAGACATGAAGAAATTCAGGAGCAAGGAGAGTGGCAGTGTAGTGTGGCGGTCCTGCAGAGAGGGGCGGTCCCAGGTGACGCAGTTGAGGAACATCATAGAGCAGAATCCAGAAAGGAGATAAACAGGGTGCAGCAAATGGAGCCCACCCTGTGGCACACACCTGCAGGTCCAGGTACTCCAGGGGGTAGGGAGGTCACTTGGTCCAAGGGATTGGGGACTAACCTGGGCAACACAGTGAGAGCCCTTCTCAACCATTTCCCCAGATAAAAACAAAGGTCAGAAATTAATCTTGTGTGTGCATGTGTGTGCAGGTGCACATGGCTGACTAGCCGTGATCCCAGAGACCCTCCTGCCTCTGCCTCTCCGGGGCTGGAACTACATGGCTTTTGGGGATTAAACTCAGGTCCTCAAGTCTGCTCTACAAGCTACTGGCTGAATGCAACATCTCCTGGTCCTGGAAATGAACCTTTGGATTCAATCTTTGGTGGGTATAGTTAGCAAGCGCCCTATACTGAATTACATCTGGGCCCTATTTTATTTTGTTTTCTTTCTTTTTTCTTTTCTTTCTTTTTTTTTCTTTTTTCTTTCTTTTTATTTTTTGTGGTTGTTTTGTTTTTTGAGACAGGGTTTCATATTTAACATTCTTCAATGTTTTATTGGGGATGCAAAGGACTTTCGATATAGACAACTGGAGAAAGAAGATATGACTGAAAACTAAACAATAGGCAGGCAATGGTGGCACACGCTTGGCAATGGCTGGCCTTGAACTCACAGAGATCTGCCTGCCTCTGCCTCCCGAGTGCTGGGATTAACGGTGTATCGTTTGGTTGGAAGAGAGTTTTGAAAGCTAATGAAAGTCATCAAGTCACAGCATTGAAATACATTTTGAATCTCAAGAACGGCAAATGCAAAAGTAAGCAAGCACTCAAAAGCACTGAGCTAGAGAAAATTGCTAAGGGGGAAAATATATTCAAAGAATCAATAAATTTATTAAAAAGCAAAATAAACAGCAGTAGCACATGTGTGTTTCTGTATACAAAAGGCATGCTTCAAAGAGAAGGAAGCTATGACAGACTCATGCCTTCATGAAATAATGCAATAAATAAAAGACATGTGTAAATAAACATGTACAAGGCAGTGATGCAACTATCAGGTTATATGAGAATTAAAATTAAAATTCACACACACAAAAATAGCTCATGAGAAAAACACAGCATTTCAGAACATTCCACCATCTCATGGTGCTTACGTTCTTCCTGCCCTCTCTTCTCTGATGTGCCCTGAGCCTTGCAGAGGCTGACAAAGATGGCTGAGCATTGAGCAGCCACTTTCTCAGCACTTAGACCAGTTATGAGTCTCTGCAGTTAGTGCTGCCCACTGCAAAACAGCAACAAAACCTTTTCTAACCGTGGTGGTTTGAATAAGAATGGGCCCAATAGGCTCCTATATTTACATACTTTGTCACCAGCAAGTGGAACTGTTTGAAAGGATTAGAAGGATTAGGAGGTATGGCCATGTTGGAGGAAGTATGTCGCTGGGGGTGGGCTTTGAAGTTTTAAAAGTCCATGCCAGACCCAGTGTCTCTCGGCCTGTGAATCAGAATGTACTATTTCTCCAGCCCCATGTCTGCCAGCAGATTGCAATGCTTCCCACCATGATAATACTGTACTAACCCTCTGAAACTGTAAGTCAGCCCTCAATGAAATGCTATACAGATGAATTGCTTTGGCCATGTCTCTTAACAGCAACAAACTGTGACTCAGACAC